AACCGGGCCCAAAAGGTAGCCCAAAAGGTCTTGAACCCGGTCAATCAGCAACTGTTGTGGTGAATTCAACAGGGATCCAGGAGCCAGGGTCTCCATGGGGTACAAACTTTAATAGGATTTATAGGTAGAAAAGAAGAAACACTTTAGTCACAGGGATTTAAAAGTTGGCCTGATTTCCCACAGAAGTAGTGAGTCATCATCTAATGAAGGCAGAGGAGAAACTGGACCTCCACAGACCTCCTCTGATAGTAACTGCTACTAACTGCTACCTGCTGCTCCCCAGTAGAAAAACAACACAGTCTTCATCCCCGACAGTTCCCTTCACAGTCAGTTGTGGATTACTTCACGATGTGTTGAATTACTTAATCTGTTACCGGGACGAGTCCCCAATTTGTGTTCGTTTTATATCAATAAATCTCATGATGCCCCTGTTGACATGTTCATATATTAATATATGAAGAGCATTCTTAAGCCAAATATGACTGGGGGAGAAAAGGAAGGGGGGAATCAAGGAAAAATAAGAGGAAAAGGTAATAAAAAGAAAATCTAAAAATGTATCTTTATAGACAGGCTTTTAATACCATGTAGTGGAGTGGCATTTTCCTTTTTTTTTTTTTTCATGTGATATATGTATTTTGTTATGTGTATTTCTGTTGAGATGCACTGTAAAAAATGTCCGTGGAATTAACAGTGAATCACTGTAAAATCGTGACATAAAAAAATTGTAAATACAAAAACAATGAAGCCGTGTGTAATTTACATTAATATGTTGTAAAAATCCGAACCAAATCCAACTGTTAATTTGACAGTAAGAATATGTTAAAAAAAAATCATACTTTTTGGGAGAATTTACAAATTACTGTAGTTTTAACACTGATAAATTGTAATACAAAAAACATTACAATACAGTTAAAATTACATCATAGCAGTGTTAAAATGTACATTTATATGTTGTAAAACGCCAAACCAAATCCAACTGTTAATTTGACAGTAAGAATTTGTTAAAAAAAATCATACTTTTTGGAGAATTTACAGATTATTGAAGTTTAAACATAGACAAAATATAATACCAAAAACATTTCAATACAGTTAAAATTACATCATAGCAGTGTTTTTTGTCAGTGGTACATTTTGGTTATGCCCCAAAGAAAGCATATTATGTTTTACAAATTCATATATTACATTTCACAAATTCATATTACAGATAAGAATATTTAGAAATACAGTAAAACTATGCTAATATAAAGAAAGTATATAAATTTGGATATCAAGTTTATGTTAGCACTCTTCCCCCCTTCCAAGATGGCAGCATGTCCTTTGTCTCTGTCATGTGTCTGTCTGTTTTAGTGTTTTTTTAGTTTGTTTGTTTGTTTTAGTGGATTTTAAGGATTTTTTTATCTAAGGATTTATGGCCAGCTAAATGGCCAACTCTCAAAGGTCTGTGGAGTGTTTATGTTTTGTCTGCTTTGGAAGGCTGATCTGCCTTATGCTCTGGCCTGCTCCATCTGCTTGTGGACTGGTTGCTAGCTGTGGCTTGTTCTGAGCTCTTTGAAACTGTGAGGTGCGATTGATTGACTTTCTGCCGGGAGGTGCTGTGGTGGGGTTTGAGATTGGTCCTAAATCACAGCAGCACACAGCAGTTTCTTATACACTGCTTTAGAGGCATGCTCCATCTATCCTGCTAACTTTTTATTCCACTTCTTGTGATTTACTTACTTTTACTTTGGTCACCTTACTTGATTGTTGTTAAGCGCTATAAATAAATCAATCAAATCTAAAATTGTCCATGACAGGTCTCTGTTGTCTTTTAGTCCTGCCAGCCAGTTTACTTATTTCCCCCCCATTATCTGTGCAGCCTGGGCAGATTCCTTTGTCCTGTTTCATGTCTTTAAAATGTTTATGTATTATATAAGCTACATTCTGAAGGTGTTAAAACCTATTTGCAACCAGAAGTTATATTCTGAGGGAAATTAAGTTATTTATCTTGGATAATAATTTATATATTTGTGAGTTTTGAGGAAGCTAGATAGGAAGTTGTGTATTTAGTTGATTGAGATTGTGTGTTTCTTATTTATTGAAGTTTTAGCAGCTTATCCCATATCATATTACAAGTACATCAAATTAAATAAATTTACCACTCTAGTTTACATGATCTATAGATTTTGTTTGTTCAATCTGCATCTTCAGCAGAACCAACGTCAACGTACAAACAATGACAGAGGAATTATTTATATTACAAAAAATGTTGTGAATCAGTAACTGAACTCCAAATGAAACATCTCTAGAAAGCCACATGTAAATAATTCCATCCCTCTGTGGGCAGTCACAGGCTGAGGTGCTCAGGCTTTAACGTAAAGGTGCACCCTCCTGTGGAAATAGGAGATATAGCACCGTGACCCACCTAAAACTAAATATCCTTCAACTTCTTTACACAAATATGAATTTGAGCTTCTTTAAAAGCTGAACCTTTGTGACTGAGACAGCTGGTACAGTAGAGCCAAATTTTTGTAAACGGAGTAATGGAGTAAGATTACAGTCCAAAGGTTTGTATGCTATTTGTACATTCGTATTTATATTTGTATTTTAAGAAAAGAACAATAAATTCTTCATTTTCAAATAAATAAATACTGAATAAGGACCTTATTGACCTTATTAAGCTTCAGCTGAATTTAGGAGCATTTTGTGTTCGATTATCTTCCCTTTAAATCCCCAAAACACACACATTATTGATTAAAGGAAGATTTTCGGTGATCTAAGTTTATAAATGAAAATATGAGGATATGCCTTATTTGTATATCGTATTTCTAAAAACTCAGACACGATTTACAAAAATCAAGTAAAATGATAAAAACAAAACTTTTAAGTACATCATACATAATAAAATAATAGTTAAAAAAACATGTGCCTCCTCTTAACCGTTAGCCGGATGTAAGAGGATGGAGATAAATACAAAATAAAAGGATCCCGTGCAGAGACCTTTGTTTTGAAAGGCGTCCGGAAGCGTTTCCGTGCGCGTGGGGTCACCGGGACTGCGGCTGCTGGTGTGGGTGTGTCTGAGCAGAGGAGCCGCACACAGACACACGGGCCCGTGGACCCCCCCCAGAGCACACCTCGTCCTCCAGCCGAGCCCGAGCAGCCCAGCCGCCATGCTCCGCGTGTCCGCGTGCGCGTTGTGTCTACTGCTGCAGCTTTTTCTGCCGACGCACGGTAAGCTTTGTCCCGCCGCCCATTGTGTGTGTGTGTGTGGGGGGGGGGGGCACCTATGGGAGCATCTATTCAAGTGCACACCCATTCTAAATGAATGGAACAACTACTGCATGCACGCGCATTATCAGGAGACCAAAGGTCTGGGTTTTATTCCAGGATTCACAGAAATAAAGGAGACATTTCTGAAGCAGAGGATCATTTCCATTGTTCTGCTTCTGATTTAAATTGAGCTTTAATGAGCCAGCATAACTATCCCACAGCCTTTTTTTTCTTTTCAAATACACAATAATTCATTGTGCACGTCCAGGGTGGGCCAGATGAGTCTGTGTCCTCCCACATCTGGATGGACATACACTGTAAATCAGCAGATCGGATTTTTTTTGTATAAGGAAAAACTAAAATTTCATTATCCAGAAAACAGGCCTTAAAGCAGCCGTGTGTTTAGTAAAATGTTTTGGATTAGGACAGATTTTCCCTGTGTGTGGATTATATGTCTGGAGGAGCTGACCTAGTTTTGCACGGGGAATGATTCCATGAATGGATGAAAATGTTTAAATTTTCTGTGGACAAAGGGTTTTATTTTCCTAACACTGCATTGTGTTTAGCATCAAAATGACACTCCATTAATTGGTTTCCTCATTTTAATTCCTATTATTTGTGCTTTGCTCTGTTTTGTGATGTACAGTGCAATTTTATTTCTTTCTTCCAAAACTTTTGAAATTAAAACCAAAAGACAAAAAAACTACCCAAACCAAATTCCGATTATTGATTAATTAATTGCGTTTTTATGTATTAATCAAGATTCAAAGATTCAAAAAGCTTAATTTATCCTGAGGGAAATTGCTTTGCAGCACTTGCTAACATGAACATTTAAACTACTGTTTAAAGTGAGCAGGGATGAATTATGGCAGCCTTTTTAAGATACAACAAATAAGTAATAAACAGAGAAATTAGAAATGATAAGTGGTAAAATGACACATACAAACTGTGGTACACACAGTGGGGCAAAAAAGTATTCAGTCAGCCACTGATTGTGGAAGTTCTCCAACTTAGAAAGACATTTCAACTATGAGAGGCACAATAAGACAAAAAATAAAACAGGAAATCGGATTGTAGCATTTTTTAATGTAAATTCACAGATCCTACAAATTTTTCAGTGTGTGGCTGTCATCCAACCACAGGCTTAAAAAGCAGTTTTACATATGACTATGAAAGATTTAAAAAAAAATTTAGATTGAAGTTTTTGTTGAATTCTAGAAAGAATCTCAGCATGTGAACATCTTCCTGTTTTCCAGGTGCGACCACACCGAAACCAGGAGCACAGCCGGGGGGAGCGGGGGGAGGTAAGCAGCCTCTCAAACATGGCTGGACACATGTTTTACTCACAGGACCCAGAGTGTGTGGCACAATGCTGGCAGCCCTGATAATGTCTAACTAACTAAACATGTCCAACCTTTGGTAGAACCTCCATAACTTCCAAAATGTGCTATTTAGGGGGCCGCCTCCACATGTGACAATGCCTTTTTACTATCAACTTTAAAAAAAGTTTGAAGACAAAATGAGGTTTCTTGTCAAAACTACTGTTGTAATAGTTAATCTGACTGTAAGATTCAGCATGCTTAATAATGACGTGTCCCTCCTTCAGATTAAACGACTGGAGATTCTCTCACTTAATTTTAGTTGTCATATGAACTTTAAATTGATATAATTTTTTCCATTTGTCCTAAACTGTGCATTTCTTACAGCCGGTGCTGACTTTGACCTGGCGGATGCCTTAGACCCCAGCAAAGACATCACTAACGACAAGAAGAAGGAGCCAAAAGGTCACTCACTGTTTCTTTGATAACATTTATGAATGGCAATTTCATATTTATATACAGTGGGGGAAATAAGTATTTG